TATAACATGAAGAATGCTTTGTCATTCAAATGCACACTGATGACCAACTATGTAGAAGTGTGGCCACTAATGATGGACATTCTTTAAGACACCAAGTAACATAATCACTGAATTGCAAGATTTTCTCCTTTTGCTTAAGCCAAAGGGTCATCTGTGGCAACTTATCTTTGTGATTAGTTACTCAATAAGTATTCTTTGCAAAATCAATGTGCAACCGCTCAGAGTATTCAGCATCAAAATTATTAGGGATACCTAGCCATTTAATAAGCCACACGTAATAGATGAGAAAGTGAAGCTTTGGAAAATTGAAATTGCTGCAAATTCCAAGATCAACAAAAATGGATTTGTTGTTATGAATGTTGTAAAGTGGCGTTGACATAACATGAGAGATGCCGCGTAGATCTAACTACTAGGCAATGCAGAGCACGGTTCCACAGTAACTGTTCTAACTTGTTCAGCCAGTCCAATAACTAAGTATTCATTAGTAAGTATACTACATTACAACCAAAGGCTTACCTAGCCCAAAAACCAAGAGGTTGAGATGGGGGCTAGGTAGCAAAAAAGAGGGTTTTTATATACTGTTCAGATTGTGCACGAACTAGGCATTACCTAAGCAACTGTAGCTACAGCATTTGCTAGTATATAGAGGACCCTGCAGAGAAATAGAAGCCGGTGTGTCATAGCATATAATGCTGTCAGGCTAACAGAGATAAGATGTCCGTTGTTGATCAGACTCAAAAATAGAAGGTCTAATGGAGATTAAAGTGGGGGCCGTTACTGAAGAAGCGTGATGCAGCAACGAGGCGGCGGTAATGTAGACATGTCTGATATGTGTTTTTTGCCTGCGACCTTTGATAATAAAGAGATGCCTTTGAAAAAGTGACAAACATGGCTGTTGCAAGGAAGTTTTTGACAGCACAAACCAAGCTGGTCTTCACTATAAGCCTTTGTAATCTAAGCAGTGAAATGCTTGATCAGGCCCTGGAGTAGCCACACTACGGGCATGGGCTGATTTTAGGCCACCTGAAATGTTCCGGTCAAGTCATCAGAATAGTTTCCTTTTTAGAGACTTACTGGCAACTTACTGGCAATCAGAAGTAATAAATTTATTATTATTTTTATAGAGATTTTAGATGTAGGAAAATGCAAAATATTGCGTGATCAAAAATTGTCCTAAAATGTCTCAAGATGGTTAAATGAGTGGCACATGTTAACACAGTGAAAAGAGCCAGAAAAGCTCCTATTTCTGGTGACTTTGTGACGCATTTCAGAACACATGAAAGAACATGAGCAGACATCATTTCAGAGGTGCCGAAACCCAAATTTTCCAAATTGCAGAAATTGCCAGATTATGTTAGATTTTTGCTTCATGTCAGCCACAAAGAAAGACTCTGGACAGAAAGATATAATAACTGCAGGGCACATTTCAGGCACATTTTCGGGCACATTTTCAGTCACGTGTCAAGGAAAAATTTTCTATTCCATGAAATGATTTAAAAAGTTTGCCTTTCAAAGAGTGTATCTGAATGTGTTTGAACTATTTCATGGAATAGAAAATTTTTCCTTGACACATGACTAAAAATGTGCCTAAAATGTGCCTAAATGTGCCTAAAATGTGCCCCATAGTTATCATATCAGTGACCCAGAAAATCTTTCTGTCCAGAGTCTTTCTTTGTGGCTGACATGAAGCAAAAATCTAATCTAATCTGGCAATTTCCGCAATTTGGAAAATTTGGGTTTTGGCACCTCTGAAATAATGTCTGCACATGTTCATTCACGTGTCCTGAAATGCGCCACAAAGTCACCAGAAATAGGAGCTTTTCTGGCTCTTTCCACTGCGTCAACATATGCCACTCATTTAACCATCTTGAGACATTTTAGGACAATTTTTGATCATGCAATATTTTCCATTTTCTTACATCTAAAATCTCTATAAAAATAACAATAAATTCATTATTTCTGGTCGCCAGTAAATTGCCAGTAAGTCCCCGAAAAAGAAACCATTTTAATGACTTGACCAGGACATTTCAGGTGGCCTGAAATTAGCCCATGCCTGTAGTGCTGGTGCAAAATATCAGAAGTGATAAATAGATAAATGTTACAATTTCTGATCGTTCTGTTAGAAGTAGCACTTTGAGAATCAGTTTACTTTTTAATGCAAGTCTGCCTCTCACTCTACAACTTGCTATACTTAAGCTATTAACTTTAAATTTGGTCCACACATATTTTCGTCATAGATCTACATGTTACAATTTTTAAATGTAATGAAGAAATGTAATGTTGAAAGTAGCACTTTGGAAGTCAGTACACTTTTAGATCAAAATCTGACTAACTCTCTGTAGCTATCAATACTTCAGCTATTAACATAACTAGGATTATGTGGGCTATAGCATATATGCTTGACAGGTACATTTCTTTTATGGTGTAATATAAATAATAATAACATACATATTATAATAGCTTGTAATTTAAATGAGCTTTAGAGCTACATCAATTATCACTTTACAACTTTGCATAATATGTTGACAGTGATAATTTTTCATCATTTTATTATGTGAATCTTATCAATAATGTGCTTACCACATAAATAATAATAAGTTACAGACAATCATACAGTTTATTTACAACATTTAACTATAAAACCAACAGGCCAGCTTATGCCTATTTGGACTATTAGCAAGTTGGGCTGGTTTCATGCTACAAAGCTGGGATTTTAAGTGATATAGGCTACCATGCTTCAATCCATCATTATACCATACTTGCTCATTAGCACTAACTATCCTGGCTGTAAAGTGCTCATTGCCATAATAAATAAATTCACATAGCCTGTACTTGCACCTGTTTAAGTCCAGTATAGAAGTCCACTGAATAGTAACTTAATCAACTTTGAACTTGAGGAATTAAGGCATATTATCTATGATTACTTTCTTCACTAACTTGGTACCACAGCTATTGCATGATGTACTCTTTTACAAGGAACAATGCTACATACCAGCAAATCAAGTACTCTGATGCCACATCGTATTCTCCTATCATGATTCCTCTGGAGCAGGACATCCTGAATAATGGAAAATAGGAGAACTCATTCGACGTGAATATTTCTGGCCAAGCATGCAGATCTTCATCTCAAATTACGTCCAAGGTTGCGCAAAATGCCAATAAATGAAGGTTAATCATTAGCCAACTATTCCACCTCTTCAACCAATCAAATCTACTTGACGGAACCGTCCATTCGCGTTCACAACCTGTGACTTCATTACTCACCTCCCGGCATCTCATGGATATAATGCTCAAATGGTCGTGGTAGACTATGATTCTACGAAGGGGATAATTCTTTGCCTTTGCATGGAGAAGATGGACACACTAGGTACAGCCAAACTCTACCATCAATACGTCTACCAAAGATTTGAACTACCAGACATCTTTCTCATGGACCGGAGTCTGCAATTTGACTCTCAAGTCATGAGAGAATTGTGGAAGCTAACCGGAGTACAAAGACAAATAAGCACTGCATACCATCCTCAGACCAATAGTCAAATGGAACGAGCCAATCAAGAGATAGAAGTGTACATCAGAATTTTCTACCAAAACAATCTGCACAGCTAGGCACAGCTTCTTCCTGATATGGAAGTGGTGTTCAATAATCGAGAACACAGTGCCACAAAGCATTTGCCTTCTATCTCATATATGGCTCACATCCAAGGATCATCCCCACAGCCTTTTGCAAGACCAAGGTTCTGTCAATACAGCAATGGCTTCTAGAACAGACTCGCGCACATGAAGAGGCCTACGCTGCCTTAGATCAAGCACAGCATCGCATGGCCTCAAAAGCTTACAGGAAGTTTTCACCATTTCAGAAGAGTCAGAAGGTCTGGCTTGAGATGACAAACTTCCAAGATGATTATCCCTTCAAGAAACTCGCACTTAAACATCAGGGACCATTCAGAATCAAGGAGGTTTTAGGACCTTTGGTATACAACCTCAATCTTCGAGGACAGCAAAAACTTCATGATGTCTTCCACACCTCGCTTCTCACTCCATATCATGAAACCGAGCAATACGGCCCCAATTTCATAGAACAGCCTCCAGAGATCATTGATGGTCATGAAGAGCATGAAGTCGAGGCGATACTCAATCACAAGACATTGTATGGCTATGTCCAATACCTTGTCAAGTGGAAAAAACAGCCACAAGCAGAGAATTCCTGGGAACCTGAGTTCCACTTAAAGAATGCCCAAGACGCTCTGAACACATATAAAAGGAGGCACAATTTGCCTATACGTTCTCCAGCTAAGACAACTCCAGTTGCAGCTACAACTAGTTTCAAGTCTCAAAACCAGTTTTGCCTCACTACCACACAATGTCTTCCACCCTTGCCACCATCTTTGAATGCATTCCTGTCTTTGCTCTTATCGAATCCATCTCACAGATTTGTATTTGCAGTCTCTCCTCCATCAACCTCTCCGACATCCAATACACCTAAATGCCGACGTCTCAGACAACAACTCTTATCATGCTTCTAAAGTTGCCCAATCCTGTGCACCCACCCCAGTCTCTCACGAGAGCACCATCCCCATTAACAAACACTCAGAATCCCACTGGGACTGGAGCAATGCTAGCGCAGAAGAAATTGAGCGAAAGTACCGCGAGACCATTTACCTCCAGCGGATCACTGAGATCTGCAACAACTACAGCACGGTCAAGCTCCTTACACAGCTCGCAGAGGAAGAAGACAATGCCACAAAGGTATTTGCAAGGACTGTCGCAAGTTTCCATGCCCTCAATGAACACTTCACTGACACCCATCACGACGCTGCAAACCTGGTTCAAATTAACGACAAAGGCCTTGCAAAACTCAGGATGCAAATTGAAAGGACAGACACAGAGCACATAGAAGCATGGAGAGATTTTGCCACCTACTCGAAACGCATCCATCAGTAGCTCACATCGTCAACTCTGTCCATTGCTATCAATTTGGGCCATCTATTCATTTTGCCTACTTATTTAACAATTTTGAACCCATGCCGTCCTCGACTCCAATCTACTCTTGCCCTCTCTCCAAATGCATTACTTTCGCGTCATCCAGCCAGTCCTTTCGGTCCTTTCAAGACTAACCATCCTCTTTGCAGAACTCGTCGTCTCCCCCATTGTATGAGTCCAACAGCCACGCTCCCACCAAGAAGTTGGTCAGCTTCACCTTCTATGACAAATCCCTCGATAGCATTGATCCTGGGTGGATGTCCCCAAGCGCTCTCTCAGATTGGACAACTCCTGCAAAGACTTCGAGACAGCAGCTCAAACGCAAACACCGTCACCATAACAGGCAGTCAAAGCCACTCATAGTCATCAAGAAGGCCCTCAAAAAGGCAGTCGCACGAGTTCAAGAGGAGATCTGGGGTAATATTATAATGGACATGGTGGCGTGGGATATCATTTCCTTTTTAGTCTCTGACTCTAGTCTAGTAGTACTGCCTTTGTCGACTCATAGAGCGCAGCTTCACTGACTCACCTACAGCCCCTTTGACTAGTAGACTAGTCTTTAGGTTAGATTGAGCAGTAGTATAAATACCCTGCGCATGTACAGTAGCACCTCAGCTTTCAGCTCCTTTGTAAATTCACATTTCTTTATTCTGCTCTAACCTCATCTATGAATAAAGTGATCAGACAAGCTTCAGGCTTGCTAAGAAACCTCTGTCATAACACTTTAGGGTTGGTGGCTAATGTTAAGCTAAAGTTGGTGTATTTGTAGATAGGCTTGAAGTAACTGTGGGGTTTACTGAAAGAGGTGATGGAGATCTGTTGTGGTGCCGAGGGATTTTGCTGATGGAAGTTGCGTATGCGTTCTTTTGTGTGAACATCTTTAGCTGGAATCCATTTGTCAGCACCTTGTCTGTATCCTTTCCATCTGATGAGATACTGAAGCTGCCTGCAGTAGACGCACAAGTACAGAATTTTTTTGACTTCATATTTTTCCTTATTATTGACTACGACTAGTGGAGGAGGTGCGACTATGTTCATTCCATTGTCATGATATGGGCTGAGCCTGTCCACATGGAAGACAGAGTAAACTTTGAGCCAGATTGGTAGCTTGAGGCAGTAGTCTAGTCTACTAACAATTTCAGTCACTGAGAATGGTTCGAGCTGTTGGAGTCTGAGTTTGCAAGTTTGCTAGTGTATTGAGATATCTTTTGAAGATAGCCAGACTTTGTCTCCAACTTTGAAAGAGTGAGGTGAGTTTTTATAAGTTTTGTAATCAACCCTCATTTTCTCTTTAGTCTGACGGAGAGCTGCTTCTGCTTTCTTGCGGATTTTGGCCATGCAATCAAGTCTATTATTTAGTGGAGGGATGTTGGAGTGTTTTCTGACTGGAATAGTAAAGTCGGGCCTATATCCATAGAGTACCTTGAAGGGGGAATGTTTGTTGCCAGCGTACACTCGTGAATTGAGTACAAACTCGGCCATAGGCAGCCATTCATCCTAGTTGTCTTGATGTTGTGAACAGAATAACCAGAGGAATTTAGATACCTCGGCGTTCTTTTTTTTCAACTTTGCAGTTTCTTTCTGAACGGTAGACTGTGGTTAAACTCGACTTGATACTAAGTTAATTGTATGAACTTTGCATAAAACAGGCAGTGTATTGTGGTCCACAATCAAAGAAGATCTTGCACAGAAGACTGTAATGTCTGAATACATCGCAGAAGTGTATTTCAAATGCCCCTTTGGCTGTAAGAGTTGTTCGGCAAGATGTGAGGTGTACTTGATTACTGTAGTGGTTGATGTAGACAGTGACGGCATTGTATTTCCCTGAGGACTTTGTCTGAGGAAGAGGGCCAACCATATCAACTTTGATGTGTTGCCAAGGTCTGTCAGGAACCTCTTGTGGCAAGTCTGTAGATAGGAGCTTTTGTTTAAAAAGAGAAAAACTCAGCATTTGGGCTCCTAAGCATCTGAAGCCTTGAAAAGCACAAGCCAGAACTTGGGCCAGACCAGATAGGAGCTAGTCAAAAAGTCTTGGTATTTGTCAGGAATTTATTAGAACTTAGCTAGGACAAATTGGAGAGGACTTGGACAGGAAGTAATTTGGAAATGCAAGCCCTTATAAGAGCTTCCCAGGTGTATATAAATCCTCCACTCATGTACCTAGTACCTCAGCCTCATATTGAGCAGTAATTTCTCTGCACTATGGTCAGCTCTCTCTGAATTTCAACTACCTGCATAGGTGATATCTAGTTCAGAGGTCTTTGTGTGTTTATTTAAGATACCTGCTGTTGAGTCTTAGCTCCAGCTGAGTTCTTTGTCCTCAAGAAAGGTCAGTTCCTGGGTATCTCTTAGTCCACCTGGTGTTTGTGTTATCTGTATAGTAGTGAGTTTACTCAATCAGTCAGACAAGACTTTGAGTTCACCTAGCAACTCAATGCTGAAGTGTAGTATACAGGTGTCTTTTTACATGCTCTGAGTCCACTCAGTAACCTAATGCTGAAGTGTGGTATACAAGCTTTGTTTTATGTTATTTTCACTAGATTGATAGTGGTCTTTGTTGGCATCATATCTTTGCTTGTAGTTTATTTTCAAGTAGATTTATTGTAAAGCACTTCTAGTCTCTGTTTACAAACATATCCTTGCTTGCAATCTATATTCTCTTATTCAAACACCTGAGACAAAAGTTAACCTAATGTCTGGTCCACCTAATTTGGTTAGAAGGCAAGCTTAGTCTCTTTCTAACTAAGATTTACTTTTTTCACCTATGATAGTACACAAAGAACTTGCAGTTAATATATTAATTATAGATTAGCATCTATAGTATAACATTAATAGACACTGAATTGCTTAGCAGAATGAGTATATAGCTAACAAAAATAGTATACAAAGAGCATGTAGATAAAATTCTGAGAACAGATTGGCATTTATAATGTAATATTAATAAGTAGTGAACTGTTTAGCAAATTAATGTACAGCTAACATAAATGGTATAATAAAAGTCTCAAATTAGTATTCACAAAATGAAATAACAGTTTTAATATTTCAATAATAAATATTAAACCAATTAACATATTTAACAAATTAAAAGCTTTGCACTATTGAAGAAAAAACAAATTAGCTAATATAATATGCAGTTACTGTATCTAATATATAGAGAGTGTTTGCTGAACTTATTTAACTAATTATTTTTCACTTAACAAAGCAAAAATAAAATAAAATCTTATAAATATTAAAAGAACACCTATTACTGCTAATTACTGTTAAATTAATAAACTGCATTTTTCCAAATAAAATGTCTTCTTTATTAAGCTCATTGCAAAGGAAAAGAAGAAGCTCATAAAATTGAGAGCATTTGATCACATAAATAGACTAAGAATAATAAGTCTAAACAGTGCAAATGAGCTTACCAGCTTACTTGGTTGTCTGCTGCAATTTAGTACACTAAAAGCTTACAAAAGCACTTAAGACAAAATAGCATGTGGGCTTCTCTGGAAATGACAGCTTGCATATAAAATATCAAATGTCAGATGCCTGATGAGTGCTGAAGAATGGTCTAGTCTCGGAGAGAAAATGATATCTAGCTACTTGCAAGTTTGAAGAAAGCACAGGGTGAGCTTCTTAACTTAATGAAGCTGAAGCTAAAGTTGAAGGCATAACACTATGAACTGCCAGTGCTACAGGAACATTCTGGCTTCGAGATAATGTCATCTTCTGCTTTGTTCTGTGCTTCTTGATAGATGGTCCCAGGCTTGGCTGTAGAATGTAAGACAAAGTGTTATGATAGCAGTGGCATTGGGGGCTGTTTGAAGTTAGTGTTAACTGGAAAATGCTTGCTTGAAGTACAAAATGTTTGACTTGAGGCAAATTGACTCTATTAAAGCAGAGTGTTGAAATTCAGAATGTGTATTCAAGATATGAAATGCTGTGAACTAGCTTGTGAGGAAAAGCTGCTGAATTTGTGACACTATGAGGGAGTAAATGGAGTAGAGACACGAGAGAAATTTGGAACTTTTTTATCGCAAAAAATATGCAAAAACAGCTTGAAAAAATAAGTAAGAAAATGTCATATTTTCCGCTCGGTATCCGGCAGTCCGGCAACTCGGCAATCCGGCAGCCGAGCCGAATATCGTCTGGGTGCCGCCGTCCCCGGACGCTTTAGTAAATGGCCTGGCGGACAATCAACTTGGCTGCCAGATTGCCGAGTTGCCGGGCTGCCGGATACCGAGAGAAAACATACGACCTTTCCTTACTTATTTTTTCAAGCTGTTTTTGCATATTTTCTGTGACAAAAAAAGTTCCAAAATTTCTCTCGTGAGACAAGAGCATTGCATTAGAAAATATATGACACAGAGATGTAGCAAAGGGCAGTGATGAAGAGAGCAATTGCAAAATGCTGAAAGTAGCTGGCACTACATATGCAGTGCGCTGGATCTGTGCAAGCACAGTGCTACCACACATTTGGATAGTGGAACATAAAGGCTTTATGTCATTCAAGTTTTAGTGTCAATGTTATCAATCTATTTATTACAGCTGACTACATCTTGAAC